AGGATTTTGAACAACTCAAAACAGACACAGCAAATTCCCTTCTTTGTACTATAGATGAAGATGAAACTTTATTGGTCGAAACTGATACATCGGATTTTGCTATTGCCGCTAGATTAAGCCAGTCACAACATTATCAGAAATTGAAAAGAAGCATTCCGCTGTGGAAAAAGAAGCATGCGCTTGTGTAGAAGCACTACGTAAATGGCGTTATTTTTTAATTGGAAAACATTTTAAGCTTGTTACAGATCAAAAATCGGTGTCGTTCATGTTTGATTCACAGCAACATTCTAATCAAAAATGATAAAATCATGAGATGGAGATTGGAGCTTTCTTGTTATAGCTATGATATAATCTATCGTCCTGGAAAATCAAATGTTGCAACTGATACTTTCTCAAGGATTTGCAGTTCAGTTTCAAATTTATTTGAATTAAATAAAAATTTATGTCACCCTGTAATAACAAGAATGTATCATTTTGTCAAAGCTAAAAATTTACCTTACTCTTTGGAAGCAGTAAAAAGAATGACGTTGAGCTGTCCTGTATGTGCAGAAGAAATACCTAGATTTTGTAAGAATGTTGGAGCTCATTTTAATAAAAGCAACATCACCTTTTGAGAGGCTCAATATTGATTTTAAAGGACCACTACCAAGTTCTCATACTAAAAATGAATACATGGTGATTATAGTAGATGAGTTTTCAAGATTTCCTTTTGCTTTTCCTTGTAAAGATACATCAGCTTCAACTGTTATAGAATGCTTAAGTCATCTGTTTTCATTATTTGGAATGCCAGCTTTTATACATTCAGATCGCGGATCCGCATTTTATGTCAAAGGAACTCACTGAATATTTACATTCTCGTGGGATAGCTTCTAGTAGAACTACACCGTATAATCCAGAAGGAAACGGACAAATTGAACGATATAATGGTATTATATGGAAATCTATCAGCCTTGCACTTAAATTGAGAAAACTGAAAACTACTCAATGGGAACTTGGTTACCAGATGTCTTACGCTCCATTAGATCTTTACTTTGTACTGCAACGAACTGAGTACGCCTCATGAGAGATAATTTAATTATCAACGCATGTTAACTAATGGAACGTCAGTTCCAACATGGCTTAAACAATCAGATTTTGTTTTGCTTAAGAAACATGTACGACGTAGTAAATACAATCCTTTGGTAGAAGAGGTTGAACTCTTAGAGGTTAATCCAGACTATGCTTTAATTATACACAAAAATGGAAAGGAAACCACTGTTTCTGTAGAACATTTGGCACCCAGAGGAGATATAAAACTTTTAGATGCACCTTCGGAACATAGCGATATTCAAAATCCTACTGAGACAGTATACAATGAAGCGGATCCTGTGTGCCCAATCACTAATGATTTTTCCGAATCTAGTCAATCTATGCTACCAGACGCTGAGAAACTCTTATCACCGGTGGCTGCAAGACATCTTAATCAAAATGAAGAATTGGCACACTTGATTCAAGACCAGAAATTGCAACTGACCAAGAATTGATAAATCAGGAAAATAGAAAATCTGAAGATTTACAAGATCAACCACGCAGATCTTCTAGAAGCCGAACTCAGTCAAAGTATTTCTAAGATTATGTCAAAAACTAGACTGGGGGAGAATGTGATGTTATTTCTAATGCATTCCATTATTACTTGTATCTAATGAATAGCTACTAGCTCTTATAAATACTATGTTTGTCACATTGACATTGTTAAATGTATGAATTGTAAAACTAGTTGAGTTTTGCAAATAAAAGCCTCAATCAGAAAGGTTTATTTACTACATAATGTTACATAAAAAAAAAGGCATGACTTCCAACCGGAATAAATAAATTTTTATCAATTCAGCAGATCCGTATAGGAAAATCCCAAAATAATTTCGAATTTCCTGTAGTAAAACACCAAACCGCAAAACGTACAAAATCTAAAAATACTTTTCTTCACCAGTTTAATTCTAAATTTAATCTTTTGCATTCTTATTGGTTGTAAGCCCCCCGTTTCGACCAAATTTTAGGGTGTAGTACGAACCCCCTCCCTTGACGTTTCTTAGGTAGATTTTTTGGCAATGAGGGTGCGATGGACCAGAAATTTTAGCCAATTGGGTCGAAGATGGGTGGGAATGAACCCTCACCGAGACAAACAACTAATTGAGGTCGTTTACAACGAGATAAAAATAACATAATTTTAAATGCATAATAATTGCAACAACAACAATGTTCTAAATAGCTTGAAAACACCACTGGGTGTCGTCAATTATGTATAAGACAAAACGTTGCACGTCTTTTGCCTCCTTTTCGATCAGACTTAATCCCCATTGACCTTGTACTGTATCAATAACCCCATTTTGTCGGGCAAAATTATGTTTGCTGCAGATAATTCCTGTTTGCCGGTTTCAATTATTACTTGGGCTGTTGCATTAGTTTAGGCCTTCACGACGTTGCCAGAGTTCATTTTTAACTGGAATTATTGCATAACTTCTTGGTTTTCGACTGACATTTACAGATTTTCACCAACTGCGTCACTATACCCTTGAAGTTTACCTACCATTTTTTCATATTTGTGCTAACTCAAGCCTAAATTATAGAATAAGAAGCACTTGCTGACTAAGGGATTCTTGTCAAGAAAAATTGCAGACTTATCGTTTCTGGGTTAATCTTTGGGGGCGTTTCAAGCTTCAGAAACTTCTAATTAATCAGTACATTTTGCAAAGGCCTCATTTTCTCTGTATGTTATTGCTTCTCCAACTTGTAAATATAAGAAGTTTAATCAAAAATTCTATCTTTTAGAGACAAATTCTCGTTACTTTTTCAAACCCACAGTGTTTGGCAATCCTGCAAAAAAGGCCTCCTGCATAATAAAATGCATCCCGTATATTGGGACCTTGAATCGTTCATACACCCCGTTTCGCAGTGTTTCTCGCTTCCTCTCTTTCGTCGCCTCTTCTTCTTGATGGGCTTTGCTCAAAAGTATCTCGTCTTCGTCTTCCTTATTCTCGGAGCTATCGCAAGTAGGCCAGAAAGAGACAAACGCGCCATCTTCTAATAGATTTCTTCGCACATACCCTTCGGTGATATAATTATAAGTTTGAAGGGAAGGTACATGCGCAATCGATTGCGAAATAACAGTGCGTTTTAGCCTTGGATGCCAACAGTAGACTTTGTAGGAAGTTTTTTTTTTTTCCAGTGGTGGACATAGCTTTATAATAGTCTAGTAGGTCTACATTGTTTCTATTTTTAAAATATCGCACCCTAGTGCGTTTGCCAAATACAGTTTGTGTTATATTTTTAGTGGAATTGACGAGGAGGGAAACATTTCCTTTGAACTTTTCCGACTTCCTTCGATTTTTTCAAACTTCCTCCTACATAAATTGAACTTCCTTGGACTGTCTCACACTCGGTACTTACCTATACCTTCCTCAGCTGAGAATAAATTCTTTCCAGGTAGTTTCCTCCTAGGTTATGGGGGAAACCAAACCTCCTCCTTTATTTTTTGATGAATATTAACCGTACCCCAACTTCCTCGGGTGTCCTTAATAATTCCTTCTCAAAAATTTTCCGAACTTCCTTATGGACATTCATGAATAAGAAAAAACTTACAATATTTAAATTTTATTTCTTTCCCATTGAACTTCCTTGTAACTTTTCTATCTTTCTATGCACTCTTTTTTGGGTGGAGGTAAAAAGTTCTCAGATGTTCTCCGCACCTACCTACGATCAAAGAGAATAATTGCTATGATCGAGAAAAGTGGTACAATAACTACAATTCTTCTAATAAACTTGTTTTTCAAATTAACCTAATTTATCAATTCTTTTGCCATTATAATGCAAATGCAAATTTATACTCGCCGTCTCCGCCGCTGTTTTAATTCTTTTTCTTATTTCTATTGGCTCATGAGCGCCGGAAGACCGCGATTATTATAAACCGACTCTTCTATAAGGGAATCTTTTCTTACCAACGAGTTTTGATTGGAGCTTAATACCTTAAGCAAAAAATGTGTTCCTTAAACTTCATTTTATGTTCACAAAAATGTGTCAATATCTACGTCTCATTAATTCTATTTTAGGATAAAATCTATTTTGGGTCATTATATGACAAGAAATAAACGTGCAACAGCTTCTGCTATTGACATCTACTGTTGTATATTATCAATATCCGTTATACAACTTGTAGGTATATAAGGTTTCTTGTAGCAAAACAATCTAAAGTGCTTAGCAAACAAAATAAATTCTATTTTGAAAAAAATGGGGTCTAGGTTTTCTCGGCGACACCTCAAAAACTTGAGTTATACTACTTTAGTATTTAGGTTGATGGAAAATTAACACGAAAACAATGTCTAATAATTGCGCAATTTTCTAGGCTTCCGTTCCAAATACAATACGTTTAGGTATCTGGAAAACAAGGACGAGATTTATATTTTTAAAAAATTAAAAATTGTGCGCGCGTGTCACGGTTGTGCGTGACGTCTGAAAAATTGTTGTAGAAATATATCCAGGACTTTCCAAGTATCTCAAATCAAACTAAGTCTTATCTGGAAGTTTCAGAAAGCTTGAATGTAACGTGGCCCTCGTTACGTTTTTGAAGCCTCAAGAATTTACCCATTTTGCAAGGAATTGGGATAAAAAACTGTGGACGTGATATTAAACTCGAATTTTAAAAGTTTTCAGAAGACTTTTCATCTTTTCCATGTTCCTAACTGAGTAAAGTTACGGATTCGTATCGATTAACTTTGTCGCAAAAGCACGCCTTTAATTTAACATTGGCACAATGCAATCTCTATAAACTAATACCTCAACGACCCTGAATCGTACATTGACCAGGAAACCATTGCATTACAGCCTTCAACTGCGTTGTCCTTGGCAAAAATAGATGCACATCATGCACCGTTTTCCACTGCACGTATCACTTCTTCTCGCCAATGTAACTAATTATAGGCAATTTCAATTTTAACGACTTAATAATGATACATTTCGATTCGTTTCAGATTTGGACCCGTACCAAAATTACCTCCTACAAGCGCAACATCATCATGTGACGTCCCACCCTCACCAGTCGATGCACCAGCATCACCCTCACAATCCTCACCCTTCGCCGTTTACCACCCCATCGCCGCCGTCTCCGCCGTTGAGACACCATTCTGGTATTCCTACCTCAGTTATACAAGCTGCAACTAGTTCAGTGTACGATGATCCTTATTTGCTAGGATTTCCATCCAGAAAACTGACGAATAAGAAAGTCAAGAAACAAAGGGTGAGAATTTTATTTTATCTAGGAATCAATTTAAAAAATTTAAAAAAAATGTGTCTTTTATCCAAACTAAATTCTTTCTAATTATTTTCTAGTTGGGTGAACCAGGTCAGGCGCCGAAAAGGAAAAGCCGAGAAGGTTCTACGACTTACCTGTGGGAATTTTTGCTCAAACTTTTACAAGACAGAGAATACTGTCCAAGGTATATCAAGTGGACGAACAGGGAGAAGGGAGTGTTCAAGCTGGTCGATTCCAAAGCCGTGTCGAGGCTTTGGGGGATGCACAAGAACAAACCCGATATGAATTACGAGACCATGGGACGAGCTCTTAGGTAAGGATTTTTTATAATTTATTGAGTCAATTTGGCAGTTCTGAATTGAATTTTGGTAGTATAGTAGGTAGTTTTTTTCTGAAACAGTTTATAAATTCCTGCAACAGGATCTTGTATTTTTCATTTCTTCTTTCTAAGTGATGATTGTAACTAGTTAACACAAAGTCAGCATTTTCAATAGTTAAAATTTGGGTTAATTGATAGATACTTATGGGTACCTTATAAATGAACAAACTTTCTGTAATCAGTGGGGAAACGAAACAATAAAAATAATTTACAAAAAGAGCTAAAACTCAAAGCCATGAAAACTTAAGTTTGCCAAGTGGAGCTACAGTGGATCACAAGTTAGTTAGCAAGAGCATCGGAAGAGAAAATATGTGAATGAAAAGTGATAACAAATAATTTGTAAAAAGTAAGCGAATGTATTGGATCTTACCCAGGAATAACTATATACAAAGATGGATGATAACAAGATGAATGATTAAACTAAGGATCAGATGAAGACCCATTGAAGAATCTGTAGAACATCGAATAAGTAAAAATAGATAAAAATAAATAAAAAAAGCGATACCAAAAATGAAGTAGATAGGTACAATACCTAATAATGTAGCTAGGTAGGTACTTAAGCAAGAGGAAATGATGAAAAAGTACAACTGACAAAGCACGCAATGGCAAAAAAAAAGTAAACATAAATTAACAAAAAACGTTAATTTAAACATTGAAAACTTGATTTTGAGTAAGTTCTAATTCTGATCAAATCGGGTTCTAAATTCTCTATTTAAGTTCTTCTGTGGTCTATCATCCCAACTCTTCTCAGAAGTGTACGAAGTCTCTATAGAATTTGGTTACTATTTCAGTCTCTATAGAATTCCGCTAATATTTCCTGCTTTGAATAATGTATAGTATACTTATGTACGTACCCCGCCTCCTGAAATATTCAATTCTGCTTCCTATTTTTATCTGTGAGATTGGGAGGGCGATATGCTATGAAAAAAAAGCAATTGGTTTCAATTTTTTTTTTCTGGATGGTTCCTGGTAGAAAATTATACGAATTCTGATATAGAATTCTTAAATCAATAATTCCTTAAAATTTGAACAGTCTAGCATTAGCCCTTCAGATGATATAAAAGGGGATTCTTTAAATTTCAACACCCTGTATTTTGGAAACGGCACACTTCCGACCATCGGTGTCCTATCTCAAACTACTTTTCTATGGTTCCTCTATATACCCTAGAATTTTTGATCGGTCGAACGGGGACACCCTGTATGTTCGGCCGCGATGGTTATGCCAGTATTTTCCGTTTGGAGGACATTAGGTATGGAGCCAAGGGCTATAGCTAGGTTCAGTTTGAGAGCTTTGGAGTATAGTCCGCCTCCCGAGCCTGTTCGAGTTTTGGAACCATCAGAACATGTTCCTTACCCCTGCCACTCTGTTGTTGCCAATGCCTTCCGTATTGATTGCGTAATGCTTTTTGAAGACTAAACATGGTGTTGTACAGTCCACAACCGACTTCTGCACTTGGTTTTATTCCAACAGTGCGAAAGAGCATCATTGTGTTTAAAATTACCTCCTTGACATGAGTATCCAGAGGCGTCAAACATAGAATTACTGCCAAAGCCCTAGTTGGTGTGGGTTTCAGTGCACCAACATATTGAGGCATGTCATTCTTTGAACGTGGTCTAGTTTTCGGCTTATGATAGTCTGTTCGGCCTTATATCCCTAGACAATAGCCCCATAGGTAAGCATAGGCCTGATGATGGTTGTATAGATTCACATAACTACCTTGGGGGCAAACCCCAGGTCTTACCGATAGTAAGTCTACAGTGTTCATAGGCGATATATGCTTTCTGTATTCTCTTAGCAATATGAGAGTTCCATATTAGTTTGCAATCGAGTGTGACTCCCAGATGTTTGACCTCAGCGGGAAACCTCAGTTCGGTTTTTAAGAGTCTGGGTGATGTCGGAAGTACCAGTTTCCTCTTTCGTGTGAATAGCACCATTTCAGTCTTTTTGGGGTTGATAGAGTGTATTCTGTGCACCATCTTTCTATAATTCGAAGAGCATATTGCATGCGTTCGTAAAGCGAGTGCTCGAATTTACCTCTATGCAAGATGACTACGTCATCTGCGTAAGCTATTGTGTAATGGTTGTCATTGTTTAGGCAGACAATGAGGCTGTCCAGAACCATGTTCCACAGGAGAGGTTATAGCACGCCCCCCTGCGAGCAGCCTCTTGTGACCATTCCTTTAATGTTGATGTCACTGTACACTTACCTATCTGTACAACATCCGGTAACAATTTCCGGAATATTCATTTTTTGAAAGGTGGTTTTGTCTGATGTCCATGAAAACCCCGAGGGCGGACTCTTTGTTGTCCAGCGATTTTTCCACTCGCCCAACAACCTGGTGGAAGTGTTGATTAGGGTGGAGTGAATTGGTTGACAACACTTCATCTCTTATGTACCTTTCGCATAGCCTCTCCATTGTTTTTAGAGGAAATGATGAGAGGCTTATGGGGCGATATGCCTTAGGGGTGGTATAGTTCATCCTTCCTATTTTGGATAGATCTGTTTGTACAGCCAGTATGGTAGCTTGATTGAAAGCTGTAATATCTTCAAAATGCCTTTTGTCTCTGGAAAGTGATCAATTTCAGTTTCAGCTACCGACAGCCAATAGATTTTGGTGCTCCACACTTCCACCGTTATTCCTTGACCCATAATTAGTTGATAAGAAAAATTGTCAGCTTCTCAAACAATTGTCACTAGTTGATGGACAAATTACAGAATCTTCTGGAAAAGTTATACAGTTATGGTGATGTATTGAGAAAATGCCAAAAAAGATTTCCAGTAGGTATCTTCTCTGTAATAATAATGATGGAATATTGTTCATGATAACTGGATATCATTTTAGGAAACGGGATGAAAGGTTGCATCCAGCTACTAAGTTTTTCATTCTTTTTTCTTTTTATGACAAAAATCCCAAGTGATTCTTCAACTTGTCTTGGGAATGAACATCCTGGAATTTCTTCCTACACTTAAGTATTTTAAAGGAACTCTTCTTTCAGTAAATGAGCGATCAGATTTTCTAACGTCTGCCCAATTTTATCAAATGAATCAGACAAACAAACAATTCGAACTTCAGCGTTTTTCGAGTCATATACAAAATGAAGAATGAACAAGGAGAAGTTGACCAGCGAAAGATAAGGGATCACAGAAAATTGGAGAGAAGTTCTCCAACCAAATCAATGAAGTACTCACAAGATAAGTTACGACAATCAAGCCTGAAAGTAGGTTCAGAAGAACTGAAATCCATCTATAAGAAGGATCCATAGAGGCAACGCTTAAACAACTCAAAAGCTCCCAGGAGATCAGATTAGGAGCGAGCTACTGTGAAGTGGAAGTAGAGTATCTGCCTAACATAAAGCATTTCTATCTCTGGCAAACAAATGTCTCCAAAAATAAGTATAAATCTCCTTTTCAAGGACTGACACAAATATGGATAGTTATAAGGAAAGAAATTAGAGTTGTTTTCATCCCCAAACCTGGCAAAATAGGTCCGGGCAATGCGAAAGTTCTGAAACTCATAAGCATCATGTCATTTTTGTTGAAGGCTCTAGAAAAACTGTTTGAGGTCTACATTCGGAGTGGTGCATTGGCTACCAGATCAATACATCCGGACCAATATGCTAACCAAGCAGGAACCTTAACTGAAACAGCGCAACATCACCTGATCCAGCGGGTAGAAAGTACGTTGGAAAATAAGGAAGTTATGTTGAGAGCCTTCCTTGATATAGAAAACACTTCCTCCGAGGCAATCATGAGAGCTCTACGCCGACGAGGTATTAATGATACATGCTGCAGATGGATAGACTGCATGCTTCGAGGTAGTGTCATCCACTCCACGCTTCTAGGTAAAACAGTAACGGCTTGGGTTGCAAAGGGCGGAGTGTTATCACCCCTGCTGTGGAATTTGATCATGGACGAGCTGATAGAGCTACTGAAGAGCAACAACCATCAAGGGGATATGCAGATGACTTGCGCATAATATCCTAGAGAAAATTCAATCATACAGTTAGAGATCGCATGCAGCAGGCTGTAACAAAGGTCTCTAAGTGTACAGAGACTGTAGAGTTGTAAATTAGTGCCACCAAGTCGATAATTGTCCCCTTTACCAAAAGAAAGGAATGGAGGGACTTGGACCTTTTTACCTTAAGAGAAACTCAGTTACGATGTCGGACGAAGTTAAATATCTTCGGGTAATCATAGACTCAAAATTAAGTTGCAACAAACATCTGGGCAAAGTAATTAAAAGGTCAAAACTGGTACTTATACTAGCCAGGAGAACTTTCGGAAAAACCTTCTGGACATGATGCACTGGCCTTAAATATCCCGATACAACCACAACGGTTGTAAAGCCAGCAATAACCTATGCGTCTTTGATATGGGTGGACAAAGACACAACAAGACAGAGCCAGAATGAGACTTGACAGGGTGCAAAGATTTGCCTGTCTGGGCATTACAGGGTGCATGAAAAGCAGGTATGGAAGTCCTACTAGACCTCCCTCCGTTACACATTGTGATTCAGGCGGAAGCCAGGATGGGCCTCCACAGACAACGAGACAACCTGAGCAAACTATGTTACAAATAAAATTAGAGGAATTTGTATACTTTCAGATACGATAACCTAGGGTCGTGAATTCAAAGAAAAAATTAAGATAACGTGTAGCCCCTTTGTGTGCAAATGAAACCACTCAACATCCAACAAACAATAATTTTATTTTGTTTACAATATTATGTAGTCAATTTTAGTGTTAATAGCCTGGTTTTTCCTGGTGAATCTGATACCAAGTACCTGCTTTCCAATCCGGAGCTCTTCAATGGGTGTTGGGGTTTCACTTTCGTGAACTGGAGGTCTTCGTGTCGTTTCCTGTATCCAGGAAGAGGATAGATTGCTGGGGTGACGTCACTCCAGCTGATCCAGACTCCAAACAGTGATCTTTATGTAGAATAGGTACCCAGAAAAGAATAAGGCAGTATCAGGTTCACCAATATTTGGAACATTAAATTCCTGAATTCTGTCAAAAAGTGAGTGTCTTGCACAGGAAATTGAAATTGAAATTTAGTACAAAATGATTGTTATACAGACACTCCTTTCAACAACAGAATCAGGTATAAAAACTATTGCAAGTAAAAAAATTAATATTTTAATATAAAAAAAAAGAATAATCAAGAATAAGATAAGATAATGATAATAGTAAAATTAAATAATAACAAGATTCAATTATAATGATTATAATGCTCGTTATAATAGAGCAAAATGCTGCTTCCTTGACAACAGCCCTGGCCGGCAAAAATATGAACAAAGATATGAGCAAAAATAAGGTAAGTAAAAAAAAAATAAGAAATTCAATCTCTGGATTCCTCCCCGAATAGACAAAATCTTCCTCTCGAACTAAGTTAGCTACCACAGATACTGATAAACCTAGGGTTGAAATTAATGAAATCCAGAATGTGTCAAAATTCTTGGGATGTTTTAATTAAAACTTTTTAACTGAATTTTTGACCTGTCTGGATTTCTATTAAAAAATTACACCCTTTTGTTGAGGTAACAATTTAGGGAGTCAAACAGAAAATGGCTGTTCAGGTCTCTGCCTGGATTCAATAAAGAATTAATGGGGATGGACTCACAAATTTGGTTCTCACCGACTCTATTTAGAGCAAATGGTCCAATATTCCCACACTAAAAATTGATTCTGAAAGCCAGAGCAGCAGTACCTATCTAAAATCCAAAAAACTGTGTTGACTTACCTCTTAAAAACTGGCACTAAACAGTAAGCAATTCTCACAAAATGGAAGCCAACAATTAGATTTAAAAAAAAAAACCTTAAAATATAATATTTATATTTCAAAGACAGATAAGATAAGATTTATCAGGTAAAAACTAATAAAGATATGACAATTTGAATATTGAAATATTTATAAGGGAGGATCCAGGAATTCAAAGCACAAAATTATTTTAAAAATAGAGGACTTGCCTGGCCAGAGTGTTCTTCAAGAAGAGGTCGTTTTAGAAACCCAAGCTAGCAGGAAAACGGTCCTGTGTTTTTTATACTTACTGCATTCCAACCAGTTTTAACCAATCAGACGAGTACACCCAAAAGACCATATTCACTTCAAAATGAAAAGACAATGAAAGACCGCATGGAATAAAACAGAATGGATAAAAATCCTCTAAAACTATTTTAATTGTTTACAAATTATAATAATTTAAATTAAGGTTATGTCAAAAATAAAAGACTGTCAATTAATTAGATCATTAAGCCAAAAAATTATTATTTCAGAATCAGAAGTTAAAAAAGGACAGAAATATATCCATTTGCTAAAAGTGAGATAAATATAATTTCTTTCAATGAAAATATAAATAACTGTCAAATGCGAATTTTAAAAATCATACTTTGAAATATAGATCATCGGGCACTAGATGGCAGTACTGAAAAATCAATTCTCGATACTTGCATTTTACGCAAATGTGGATAGATGGCAGCAACTCAGAAACTTCGTGAAAAAATCAGATTACGCGTATATCCATCATTAAAAGGTCTGCAAGGGATTTTTAACTGAAGAAATTTAGACAAAAGTCTTATTATTGCACTACTCCATAATATTTTGTTAATAAAAGCTCTTGCTTTTTACTGGCATTTGCAATTCCAAACAGAAAACTACATCTACACAAGGAAATTGCACAACAACTCAATTTACCCACACAACTATTGTATTTATTGTTCTAAATTCATTTTGTTCCACTATCTACAACATAAACTCATGATTTTATCGTATTAAATCTACAAATTCCTTTATTCTTTCCAGGTACTACTACCAAAGAGGAATCCTAGCAAAAGTAGATGGTCAAAGGCTCGTCTACCAATTCGTCGAAGTACCAAAAGACATCGTAGAGATCGATTGCACTGGAGCGGCGTGAAACAACTGCCATCAACTAACTGTACAAAAAAAATCGTTTCGCGGCGATTTGAACCAACACTCACCCCGAATTCTGCCCATCAAAGTACAACAATAAAATGAAAAAAAGACTATTTTACCATAGAGATGTTTTTATTTATGTTCACCAATTAATGTGGTGTGGCTGGGGGAAAGCATTGTATACAACGAAATCGAGTTTTATAGGGGAGACATATGTGACTGGACTGGTGAATGTAATTTTTATAGATTATGTTTTTTTTTATGTGCTAAAAAGGCACTCACATATAGTTTCTCAATGACTGCAAGGAAGAATTTAAGAGAAAACTTTTTGTACTGTGTAGATCTCTGTATTTTTATAATAATAACACTGTTGATGTTTGAGTAGAAGGAAATCAGATTTTTTTAATTTAAAAAGGTTGTGGTATTTTATAAGAGAATAAGGAAAGAGTTTGCATTTTTTTATTTGGATTCATTAAACCTAATTTTCCTTACATTACATTTTTAGAGTGCAATAATGTTCTAGTAAATAAATAAATATAGCGTGTAAACGCCTCAGATTATAATAGTAATGCATTTTTTTCTAGTTAATATTAAACAATAGAAGGATTATGTTAAAAAATACTCAAGTGTACAAAAAAGTCAAATTAGTTAAAAGGGGCAAGACCAGATTTAACGGGTGCTGTTTAGAAAATTTTACATTGAAAAAAAAATGGACTGTGAATGGTGCCTATGGAAAGCAAAACGTAGAACTGTCTAGGGTAATTGTTTCGTTGTTTAATGCTCTCTTTAAGTTTTCAGATTTTTTTCTCGTTCTTTTGATCTCCGTAAATGAAAATTTGTAAATATATGAAAATATGAATCCGTACTTATTGCTAAGAGGGGATTGTTAATTTGAAATTTTTATTTTCCCAGTGAAAATTTTTTGAGTTTTGATCCAGATTATAATGGTGTATTTTTAAAAAGGGTTAAATTTTGCTAATAGTTCAGTGGTTTGAGCAAATGTAAGAAATTCCAAATTTGTTTTGGTTCTTATTTATTCATTTATTTATTTTCTGCCTTAATTTTAAATGTTTCAAAATCATATTTATTTATTAGTTTAATTCATATAAAACATTGTTCTGTTCCTTAAAAATTGGCAAACAATGTAAAATTTAACCAAAATTGTAAAGGTCCCACCATTATAAACACAAAATTAACTTATTAAGAATTTTTTTTCTTTGTATATTTCTTGTATAGTATTTATTTTTAAATCATCTTTCGAATAATAATTTTTCCTGGTTGAAATTATTCTGTGATTTTGTAAATTTTTAACCCTTAATGTTAGATAATATACAAAAAAAAATTGTTTTCGTTTTTAAATTGAAATGAACCACCTCAAAAGAAACCCAATCGATGTACCTAAATACCGAGTGTCTTTTTTAGATGAATTTTACTTATTGATGAGACCATTTTTTACTTATTGAAAAATGAAATGTAAAACGACAAAAGTTCAAATTAAAAATCAGGTTACATTTTATAAAATAATTATAACTTACCTATCAGAACATTTTTTATACATAATCTAGATGAAATTTTAAGATTAACGATTAATAATTGTTAAATGTAGTAGATGTAATGTTACTTAAATGGAATATACTATTTATTATTTTTTTTATTAAGCAATGTTTTTATTGAAAATCGTTTCTTAATAAAAAATAATGTTATAAAATAATAAATATATAAGTTTGTCCAAGAACAACCTGCCCAGTTAAGCTAAAATAGTATTGTTGTTAAAAGTATAAGATTTAAAACCCATGTTGATTATAACCAAAAGTCTCTATTTTAAAGAAATAGTCACTTGCAGTGCATACAGTTAATTATTTATTGTAAAAACTGAAAATTTATTCTAAACTAAACGCACTTTGGAGCACTACTGAAATAAATTTTTGGTTTTTACTTTATCACAGCAAAATATAGAAAAAACAAAATGAAAAATTTGTAAAATAAACTAATTGGTGATAAATGTTAAATAATAATTAATTAATGATTGTTTTGTAAATATAGATAGATCTTTATCCGTATTGCAAAAATATTTTCAGTATGTTTTTTTTAAGTTGGACAAATTGATTAATAAAATAATTGTGTTTTTAAATAATTGTAAATGTTTATATTGTAGGTTAAGCAAGTACTTTTATTATATAGTTTATTGTAATATTTTTTGTCTTTGCAAAATAAAATAACATTAGAAAGTAAATGGATTTTTTTTTACATAGGGTGATCTAAAAGAGCTTTATAAAGGACATCTATATTTTCAGGATGTCTATTCCAGACTCACTCAACTTCTACATAGATTTATGATATCTATCACAGTGTTGCGTTTGAAAATCCGATCCAAAGTTTTACATACTAGCTATGCCTGAGCACAGGCCTGAGTTAAGCCAGGTCTCTATCAATTTTATACAGTGATAATGACATGTTTGGATCTGGAAAACAATGCGGATATGGAAATAATTTTGGTGTGAAGAGTGGACACCTCTTATATTTCCTGAATCACGTTCAGGCAAAATTTGGAGGCTCTTGAAATCACTTGACGGAATTCCTGAAAATGGCAATTTGGAAATATTCCTCGTTAATAAACCAATGAATTTTTTTGTATGGTAAATTGAATGACCATGTCAATTTGTATATGAATGTCCAGGAGAAGGGTTTGGTGTTTATTGTTGCACGTTTCTAGATATTATGTGTAAGTTGAAAATCATTGTACCTATATATGTACCTATTGATTCAGAACATCTAATACAATATTCTTGGTCTTATCTTAGGGGTCCAACGTCGAAATGGATAAAGCAAGTGGTGCGCTTCGAAGTTTTTTGTTCACAAAACATGGGCCCAATACCAAATTATAGTAGTGAAAACCATGGAAATTTCACAAAATCTAGTGGAAATGTGCTCATGTTACTAAATACACTATTTTTGCTGATGACACCACAGTCTTATTCATGTCGGCGGGATTGGTTGATCAGACGATCCAACACCCTGAAGCCACACAGGATTATAGGATGTAGGACTGGTTTAACGCTAATTAAGCTCCACAGGTGTAAATGGTAGAAGGAAGGAGATATCGATTTCTTGGAGTATACATTGCCCACTCTTAGATGGGATGCCCAAATTGATCAGGTTTCATCAAGGCTCTTTCTGTCGTTCGTAATCTCTTCCATAGTGTCTCAGGTAATGTGGTAAAAACATCGTAGTTACCATGCTCTATTTCACTCTGTTATTACTTATGGTACCTATTTTTGTTTGGGGTCCACTCCCCTCTTGTGACCAGACTCTTTGGGCATCAGAGAGAAGGCTATCGGGGTTGGGTTTTAGATAGGACTGTAGATAAGTTTAAATATATACTTACTTTACCATCTCACTACATACTTGAAAATCTGCTGTATAGGACAACGATAATAAATTCAGGGTGCATGACAAAGTCCACAGCCATGACACAAGACAGAAAAACTCCCATCCCAGCCTATCATAGATTGAAGAAGAGGTGTCCGGGCTATCGGTCAGTTGAATTCTTTAACAGTCTTCCGAATAGCATGAAAACCTTAGAACGAGGCAGATTCAAGAGAAGGATTAATGCGTTGAAAGAGGACTTCATATCTATAATGCCAATTTTCCACTAAACGGACTGTTGAGTTTGTGTTTTAAAACATGTTTTAAAACAAAAACAAAACTGAAATAAACACAAAACTCTTGTTTCCATTAAGCAGACTACGTTTTGTTTTCTCGGGAAAACGAAACTCCAACTGTCTCAAAACACGTTTGTCTTGAAAATGTTTGGGAAAAGTTTGAGTTTGGGTTTTGTTTTTGTTTTGTCTGTTTGGTGGAAAACCGGCATAAGGAAAATGAGATAGGTCTCCTTCTAGTTCACACACTAGGCTTTTTCGGAAACGCTGATCCTATTAATTGGTTGATGTTTTTTGTCTTTTTTGAATCGTGTTTATTGAAGAAAGATAAAACACAAACAGCTGATGATCGGGTTAATCGGATCAGCGTTTCCGAAAAGGCCTATTGTTTCTTTTGACTGAAACATCTAGGGTGTTCGGAAAATAGCGTAAAAGCTCCCCACTACGTAGTAGAGGATCCGTCGAGTAACCCTGAAAAAATAATTTAAAAAATCATTCTCGACCATTCTTGGAAATATGAAGAGGTAAATGTGGAAATTCAACTTATTTTGGATTTTTCTTTCAAATTACAATATTTTGTACAAAGTGTTAGGTATCTTTTGTTGTTAGGAAGTTTTCACTTTATTGCTCAAAATCGAAAAACATCCTCAAGCGGCAAAATGGTTGACGGCCATTTGAACCGCTACAACTTAAGGGATATTAAATCCAAGTGAAGCTTTGAATGTGACTCTTGTAGAAACAAAAGTCACATTCAGAGCTTCACGTAGATTCAATATTCCTTCAGCGGTAGTTAAGTGATAGCCGTGCAAATGGCCATGAGTATATCAAAATGCGGTTTGCAGTGTGTTTGCACCAATCAAGATTTCATCAAGTTTAAACCTCAACAGAGTGGGGGGGGTTCATTTTTTTTGCATCTGCCTCAGAAATTGACGTTTTATATCAAAAGTGTCCAAATTGGACCACCCTGAACCTACATTCTTTAACGAATAAGTAAAGTAAAAATAAATTTTCAAAAAATCATTGTTGACTGTTGAAAATTCTAAGCCTGCGTCCCCGCTGAAGAAAATCCTGGATCCGCCACTGGGTGACAGTGATGCGTCCACAAATGTGAAAATTACATTTTTGGAAGAATTTCTAGGCATCTATAGTAGTCGGAAAAGAACGAGATTCAATAAGACGTACCTACCTAATGAAGATTTTTTTATTTTATTTATTTATTCATTTATTTTAAGTGTACAAATTACACATTTACAGAATTTAAAACTAAAAACTAAAATGACAAATGCAAGAAAAAGTCGGGAAACTATAGCTATTTTACCTGAACTCAGAATTGTATTAAAAAGGTCCAAATGAAAGAAATGAGTAGGTACCTATTATAGTTTGTGAGCAGTCTAGTCATCAGACAGTTTTGCCCATAATTTGTTGTGTGGACTGGTTGGAAGAAAATTGCCTTTGTCTAGTTCTTCTGCCCAGGGACGAGGAAATGGATTTCTTGTAAAAGTTCAAATGAAAAAGTAATACCGCACATATCAGCTTATACAAAAAAATCAATTGTGCATTCTGATGTCTATTCTCCAGACTAGTTAAGCCACACAACAGTAAACGAATGTTTTAGTCCACATTTTGATAAGGAAATCTTTGTTTGTGCAAGTATTTAACAAAGTTATTCCGAACTCTTTCGATGCTCTGGATGAGACACTCAGCTCGCTTTGAAACATATATACATAAATGAAGATAACTTTCTTGTTCCCAAATGACAGTTATTATAGTAACGGTACGGTTTGTTAGGGCAGTGCGCGACGTACAACAAATTATACTGCAGTATTCCAATGTCGACCTTACCTTATCGGACTATATAGTAAAGTGTGCGGTTATTGCTTTGACATCACAATTAAATATCTCTGGTGTTTCTCTTGATAAAGCCGAGCAGTCTAAAACTCTTAAGCACAGCATTATCGATATGTTTACTGGAAGACATCTTTTTTTTTTTGAAATATGATCCCCGCATCTTCAATGGTATCAACAGTCTTTCATTCTCAAGAAAGCATGTGTGCAGGAATAAATTCATTGTTCTGTAGAAAGTTATGTGCTTGCACTTCTTAGGGTTAAGTTTTAACAGGTTAATGTTACACCAGATATACGTTAAAGTCTATCCAGGTCTGATTGGAGTCACAGACCATATACAGTAGCGAAATGCTTAAAGTCATCGGCGTACAATAGGCGCCGTGAACCTTTGAGACACTTGACAACATCATTGATAAAAAGCACGAACAAAATTGGGCCGATGTGTGATCCCTGAGGCACATGTTTTTGAGCCGAGGTGTGATCCCAGAGGCACGTGTTTACGCGTTGTTAATGCCCAGTTAAGTATAGGAGCGTGTTCAGGACAAGAAATGTTCACTGAAATCCATGCATGATAATTTACTCAGTAGAATCTTATGATAAACGCTGTAGAAAGCTTTAATACATCTGATCGACTTGCTTTCCTCTGACTCCAAAGCAAAAGTTAGGACTTGTTGATAACAGGCCAAATTTGTTGGCAGAAACAATGTTATTCATAGGCGATGCAATTCTTGTAACAGGAGTGAATGTCGTCAGTCAGTATGGATTGGATTCCATTATTTTGGGAATATGAGATATCAGGGTGTCCCACGGTGGATGGCGTATTAGACGTTTATGGAGAACTAAAAAGCGGATCATTTTGAAAATTTGGCAACCGGGATAAACGACCATGATCTACACTTTAAAAATATTTTTGACCATGCGGTGTTGCTGCTTCTACTCTAAACTAGTGGTAACATCACTATTTTAAATGGAACACCCCGTATTAAATTGCATATTTGGATTCTACGTAAAATTCTAAGCAGATTTCATGTGATATACCCTATACCTAAGTTCAACTGTTTTGGAAATATTGACAGTTGAAAATTGATTTTTTGCAACTTTGACAGGCTGTAGAACCTGAACGGTTAATTTTAGAGGAAACCCGATTTTACATTCCTATCTTAGATTTTTATAAACTATCATTTGACACCAAGTTAGAATTAAATCCATGATTAAAAATTTCAGTTAAATTTAATCTCCGGTTAAGTTCAAAGTTGGTGTCAAATGATAGTTTAACAAAATCTAAGATAGGAATGTGAAATCGGTTTTCCTCTAAAATTACCCAATTAGGTTTAACAGCCTGTCAAAGTTGCAAAAAGTCAATTTTCAACTGTCAATATTTCCAAAACAGTTGAACTTAGGTATAGGGTATATCACATGAAATCTGCTCAGAATTTTACGTAGAATCCAAATATGCAATTTAATACGAGGTGTTCCATTTAAAATAACGCTGATCTATTTAAAATAACGCTGTTGCCACTGGTTTAGAGTAGAAGCGACAACACCGCATAAACAAAAATATTTTCAAAGTGTAGATCATGGTCGTTTATCCCGGTTGCCAAATTTTCAAAATGATCCGCTTTTTAGTTCTCCATAAACGTCTAATACGCCATCCACCGTGGGACACCCTGTATACCAAAGCAACGTGCTTTCTACATTCGTATATTTTGCTCAGTGAACAATGTCATCAAGTGAAAACGACAAGGAATGTTATACCTACTACTAGTAGGTACTCACAAAATATAAAAAAATCTAGAAAGTCTATAATTGTACTGCTAACTTAGAATTGGAATTGTATAAGCAAGGATATTTTTTTACAGCATCTAATAATTTCTCATTAAATTCCTGTTAATTTTTCCAAATTTTCTGCTGTGCCATAATATTCCACCTTTTGTCATGAAATGCAAAATTACCAGTGCACACACAGCTTGAATCTTGCTTCACAACACATAATCGTGTCGCTCGGCAAGAATAAACTGACACGCTGCTCGGATGTTTCTTTACTGGAGTGATGGTGGGTTAGACACGAAAGGTACACGCTGGCGAAGCTGTGTCCGACATGGTGTCGCTGTTGCGCTGCTTTGGTGGAACAAGACCTGTAAACCATAGGTCTTGGTGTTTTGAAACTACTGATATTATTTCCATTTGTTTAAAGAAATAAATTGACTTTGGGATTGTTTTGACCAATAATTAGGACAGTGCCTTTAAAATCATTCAGAGGCATCTTTCACTCATTTGTCCATGCTTTAATGCTGTTAAGGTCCATTTGTAATTCAACTTGATGTAGCAGTGGATTTGTGCATAGGTTTCCATCATTAGCGAATGTAGCATTGTTGGTGTGGAACCCTTCATAAAGATCACTCATGTATATTATAAACAGCAGCGGACTGAGAACTGATCCCTGAGGAACACAGCTGTGTACTTTGTGCTTCTTTGAAAATGAAAAATCCACACGTACTTGGAAAGTATAGTACGGGATACGAGGCCTATTTCATCAAATCATTTTACACCGTCTTGCATTGTTATCATCAGTTAGATAACATGATGCTGAAACACACCTGTACGGGGAAATAGATGGGAGTGGGGGATTTCGCTGAAAAAAAATTTCCCGAAAATGTCGTCATAAACAGGGAAAATATATAATTATACACCGTCTTGCATTTATTTATTGAGTTAATTTGTACACAAACAAAATTGGATCAACACATGCAAGACGTTTTCATGGAGGTTTTGGGGTTGTTATATTGGATAGAAATTGTCAATTTTTCAGAGGGGTGAAATATCATTTCACACCACTTCATTATTGATTTAGATTAAAGCTTGAATGTAGAATAGCCACTGGATACTGATGCAAGACGTCCTGTGGAGGGATAACGGACTGCAAGACGGAGGTCAATGTGTTGTCTTATGAAGGAGTGAGAAATCATTTTACACCGTCTTGCACTGATACTAATGGGAAAAACAGAACACATTGATAACATTTAAAAAAATACAAGACGTTCTAAATGGAAAGAAAGGACTGCAAGACGGTGATGAAGTTGACTAATTTTGACGGGGGTAAATCCATCAGGTACAAATGTGAATACTACTCCAAATTACAAATTACGCACAATAATTTTAGATATTTTTGCTTTTACCACGTAGAATAATTCTATTTTGCAAAATTCTCTTAATATGTATATTTGAATGACTCTACGGACATCAAAAAAAAAAAGGTTGAAAATTGTTCTTTTTCTGACAGCTTATAATCATTTTATTTATTTTTTGAGGTGGATATGTCATAACACCTAACGGATTGTAAGTAGGTATTAGGTAAATTAGAGAAATTTGATTTTAAAGCAGCAAAAAAATGATCTGCCTGGAATTGTAAACAGAAATTATAATTCCTGTATTCAGCAGACTCCCCTGTTGAGCTGCTATGTCAACTGTCCTTTTCCATCTGTATGATTTAGAAAAGAATGAACAGTGAACGGTTCAGTAAATAACTCAAAAGTTCAGTAAAAAAAGAAAACGGATTTATTAACTTTTTTCCCCGAAAAAACGTCTTGGACTGATGTATTACCATTTTTTAACATATATTCTTCCGGCGGACATAAGCATGAAGTGGTGTAAAATAAATTTTCACTCCCTCATGAGACAACGCATTGACATCCGTCTTGCAGCCCGTTATCCCTCCACAGGACGTCTTGTATCAGTATCCAGTAGCTATTCTACATTCAAGCTTTAATCTAAATCAACAATGGAGTGGTGTAAAATGATTTTCCACCCCTCTCACAAATTGACAATTTCCATCTTCTATTGCAACCCTAAAACCCCCATAAAAACGTCTTGCATGTGGTAATTCAATTTTGTTTGTGTACAAACTGACTCAATAAAGAAATGCAAGACGGTGTATAATTATATATTTTCCTAATTTATGACGACATTTTCTGAAACATTTTTTTCAGCGAAATCCCCCACTCCCATCTATTTCCCTGCACAAGTGCGTTTCAGTACCATTTTATCTAACTGATGATAACAATGCAAGACGGTGTAAAATGATTTGATGAAATAGGCCTCGTATCCCGTACTAGTATGTTCAGTGAGGAAGCCTTTTAACAATCTCAGAAGTTTACTTCTAACTCCATAATGTTCCCATTTAAGCATTTTTTAAGTAGAAAATCAGTGAGTTCTTTGACTTTCTATGCATTTACATAGTGCACTTGTTAGAATGTTAGGTTTATGTCTGTTTCATCAGGATTCAGGAAACGGTTGTACTTTTGACAATGAAATATTGATCTTACTTAGGTATCTAGCTGAATGTAGTTGCATATTCTAATTATCTTTTATACTGTAAAATTTAGAATATTAAAAGATAGGTGTAGAGCTTTTGTCCTAAGACCCCTAAGTATAAATTAAATAAAAATTAATAATCTGAATCCTCAATTTTATAAATATTGTCTTTATTAAGGGAGGACAATATTCCTCATAAAAATCAGTCACTGGTAGAATAGTTTTCAGCAAAATCAAGAGTAAAATTATTAGTAAAAATATTGTGATGGTTGTAGAAAGCTCTAAATTTGGTTGAAACCAGCATTAATTTTTTTGCTTCTGGAAGTACTTTTGCTTTTCAACTGGATCAGGAATAATCTGAAAATTAATTTATTAGGTACCTATCCAAACCAAATTTAAAATGTATAGCTTACAGTATCTTGACCAGGTTTCCAACCAGCTGGGCATACTTCCCCATGTTCATCTGTGTATTGGAAAGCTTGCACTAGCCTTAAAGTTTCGTCTACACTCCTTCCAACAGGAAGATCGTTCATGGTTATTTGCCTCACAGTGCCCTTTGGATCAATGATGAAAAGACCTCTGAAATTTCTATTTATAGTTATTGCATTTTTTAAATAGAAAATCGGCTACCTTAAAGAATGACCAGCCTCTTCCAAATAAACACCATAATCTTTTGAAATGCTGTGACTCAAATCTGATAGTAACGGTATGTTAACTTTACCCAAACCACCTTCTTTTCTTGGTGTATTTATCCAAGCTAAATGGGTAAAATGTGAGTCAACAGAACAAGCTACAACTTCAGTGTTGATCTTTTTGAATTCTTCAATCCTGTCACTGAATGCTAAGATTTCAGTGGGACAAACGAAGGTACTGGAAAGTATATGTTGGATTGAATTAGAAAAAAAAATTGGTTAAACTCACAAGTCAAGAGGATAGAAAAAGAACACTAAATATTTTCCGAGGAAGTCTGTAGATTTCAGTTCTACAAATTCTCCGTTTACTACAGCTGTGCTTACCCAAAACGGTGCTGGCTTGGAAACTACACAAATAATGTTCATTAATGAGACTCATTGGCATTGCAAATTGAATTGGTTTACTTACTGACTGCTTTAGTGAACTGCAAATTATGTTGTGCCTCCTTTATGGTATCTGTATGAGGATACACTGTGCCTCCGGCATATTTTACACAGGATTCTTCTTCAAATTGCTTGGCAAAAGCTAAGCTCGCAAAGGAAAACAGCAAACATTGGATTTTCATGTTTGCTATTCAATATGTTCGAATGTTCAATTGGAAACTGATCAGGTGGATAGATTTGGGGGGACTTCGGGACTTGTAGATAAAAATTTAATACGCGGAAATAGAAAAAAACAATAGGCACCGACCATAGATAAGACCAAATATTTTGATACCGGTTTCACTGTTTGGTTAGATGACGTTTAAAAAAAAAAACAAATATTTAGAGGGTTTTCATTTTTTTCTGCTAGGTCTGCTCCGAACAGATCTGAATCAAAATTCTCAGAACGGAGAGGAGAAGCTACGTGAAAAGTGCAACGTTGCTCGTTGCGTTGCTCTTTTGTTTTGGGAATGAAAGTCCCAAGTCCCAGCCCAGGATCTACTGACTTCAGAAAAGGGCTTATCGATATTAGTTGTATTCCTTCCAAGAGCTTGAAACACTCGAGCTACTCGTTCCGGTGTTCAGCCGCTCCGATTTGCAGGGAACAGATGCGTGGCGCAACAAACACTTTTCGAAAGGAATAAGCGCGTGAAGCCCCGGAGCTGTTCCGGAGCTCCTCCTAGGTGTGAAAGGAATACAACTATTCATAGGATTCATACATTCATTAGATATTTACGATTCTTTAACTTCTATTTAAGTATATTTTTTCCCAGTGAGATGCTTCTTTTTTTTTCCATTTCGATATTTGATATGATAAATTATCGATACTCTCGCTCGATACGATTGTTATCCTATCTCTTGCCGCACTTATATGCTTGCCGCACGTACTTCTGTCAAGAAATGTCAGTTCTGTCAAGAAACGATACACATCCTACACATCTGTTTACTATTTAAAAAAAAATAACTAACTAATGTCTCATTCATTAAATAAATTAAACCTGTTAATCATTCTGTAAGTATTTTGTTGATAACAGCGCCGGTCTAAATATAAAAGTGTTATCATTGAATTACTAATTACTGTTAAATATCGGTGTTCAACGAGGAAGGATAACCTTGCAAAACCAACAAAAAGTTGATGTCATCAACTGAAATAGAGTTTGTGCAATAAAAAAATCTATTTTGCTTTTAGTGATTAAATGAATACCGTGTTTACATGGTGTTCCTAGGCGGGCCGTAGAAAAAAAGTTAAATTTGAGCCGCCAACATGGTGTTTGAGAGTATCGTGTCCCAGATACTGAACAACGCTTTGGGGGAGTTTGTGGAGAATTTGGATGTGAATCAACTCAACATTGGAATATGGGGAGGTAAGAACATGTATAATCTAGATATGAGTTTATTGAAATCCAACCAAAGTCACATTGTTTAGTTTAGTGTTCTGCCTTTGATAATAATCTATTGAGTTGAAAAATGGCACAAACACATTGCATTGATATCCTGCCTAATTTTTATATTTTAACACTGCCATAGGTGGATTGTATACTAAACACCTGTTGTGCCATCATAGACCGAATATTATGCATTTTCCATTAGGAAAATACAGTAGAAGCATGGTCATCCGAGGTAACGTGAATATTAGGATAATCCAGATTTACGTTAATTTATGTGCTAAAAGAGTCCAAAAACATAAATAAGAAAACCACTCACATGGGTTGAGTGGATTCCCTAGCGGCCCCCAATGATTTTAAATGGAAATATGTAGTATGTACATAGTGTATATCGAAGTGTATATGTATATTTTAGTAACTCTGTTAATAATAGTCGCGCATACCCGAGGGGTGTTTCACTCATGCAGTAGGTGTACAAATATCATGCATTTATGTATATGCAGTTCATACATTCTCATGGACATACATGGACTCATGCAGTCATAATACAGTTGCTAACAGTCGTTATAAACTCTGTGCAGTCCGAGGTGCAGTCACATGCAGTACGTACATTCCATATCAAAATCAAAATCAAAATAGTTTATTGGTGTTATAAATACAATTGTACCTTACACAAGTCATATAAATAAATCTTACATTTATCATAAAAATTACAAAAATTACAAAAATTATGCTGAGCACTATACATATTATTTAGAAGAAAAACAGACCGATAAATGCTAAAATTACAGTGACTAATACAAAGTTAAAATAGACAAAAAAGTCAATTATATAAATTAAAATAAAATAAAATGAAAACAACTATTACAGGTAAAACTCCATTAAAAAAGACAAAACTGCATTTAAAAAGACAAAACCTATACATATAACAACAAACCTATTACACATTAAAATTAAAATTCATGACTTAAAAACTCTGTATAACTATAAAATCCTTGACTACACAGGAAGCCTTTAATTTTTTGCTTGAACTGTTCCTCTGGTAGGCTCTTGAAAGAACCAGGCAACTTGTTGAAAAAATGGATTGAGAAACAGCTAGGACCACTCCTGCACCTCTCAAGCCGATGGTAATTTGGTACCAAACAATGTCTGTTACGAGTGTCATAATTATGGATGTCAGCATGAGACCGATAACCATTCAGGTTACTACTCAAGTACACAAGGCACTCATATATGAATAGACACGGAACAGTAAGAATATTGTTATCTATAAAAGCCTGCCTACAATCTTCTCTATAAGACAACCCTGCCAATATCCGAACCGCTCTCCTCTGAAGCCTAAAAACTCTTGTGGCTCCTGCACTGTGACCCCATGCAATGATAGCATGAGAAATATGGCTATGCACCAATGAATAATATCCTTGCTTAAGCACGGAATGCGACACGGAGCCAGTTAGACCATGCAGCAAAAATACATTTGAAGCGAGTCTAGAGCACAGGGCATCAGTATGGGCGTCCCAGCGCAGCCCGGGGTCCAAATGGACACCCAAGAACTTAACACTGGAAGCTTCATTCACATTAGGCAGTGCACGGGTGGAAAAGACGAGTGCTTGGGTCTTAGAGGCATTGAGAAATAAGCGGTTGGTGGAAAACCATCCTTCAGCTCTAGAAAGTGCAGCACGAGTGCGCTCCATAGCTTGATCCAGCTCGTTTTCATAGCAGGCAATTGTGGTGTCATCAGCAAAAAGGGTGTAATGAGCATCTAAATCTATTTGTGGAAGATCATTTATGTATAATAAAAATAAAAGAGGACCCAGGACAGAACCCTGAGGCACTCCGATTTGTACATCCCTTTCATCTGACTTCACCCCAGCAACCTGCACCACTTGGCGTCGTCCAGACAAGTAACTTCTGATTAGGGAGATGCTGGATTGATCAAAGTTGTATTTTTGAAGCTTGGCCAGAAGTATTTCATGCTCCACACAATCAAACGCTTTACTCAAGTCACAAAAGCTGCCTGCCAGATACCCTCGCCCCTCAAAGGCCCTGTGTATAGCTGATACCAGATCCAGCACTCCAAGAGCTGTACTTCGTCCCCTTCGGAAGCCAAACTGTTGCTTGTAAAAAAGTTCATTAGATTCCAAAAATTTACTAATACTCAAAGACATGCATTTTTCGAATATTTTTGAAAAAATAGGCAGCAATGAGATAGGTCTGTAATTTGATACATCATTGGCGTCACCTTTTTTGAAAACTGCATTACTACTGCTTGTTTCAAAATATCAGAGAAAGTGTTTTCGTTGATACTGAAGTTAATGAGCTTTGTGAGAGGAGAGATTATTAGATTTCTGATGCCTTTCACCAATTCAACAGAAAGTCCAAAGGGATCTTTACTTTTTTTATTTTTGAGTTGATTAATAACATCCCGAATTTCAACAAAACTAACATGACCCAAAGTGAATGGATGATGAGAAAAAGTAGGAATATTTTCTGTAGGGTCAGCTAAAGCCTGGTTAAGTTGGCTCTGTAAGTTCAAGGCAATATCCGCAAAAAAGTTGTTAAAGTCGTTAGGAGAAATGGTACAGGTGGTTTCCTTTTTCTTTTGAACACCCCTCGCTTCATTTATAATTTGCCACATGGCTTTGCTAGGATTAGGAGAATTTAGGATTAATCGGTCATTAGAAGCTTTTTTGGCTGATTTTATTGCTTTTTTATAGAATTTCCTGTGTGACTTGAAAAGATTTGTCAGTTCAATGCCTGTGTTATTAGTGTGTAATTCTCTCAAAAACTGCAAAGTGTCACGCATCTGTCGAAGATCCTCATTAAACCAATTTGTAGTGTGGCTTTGGTTCATACGTTTAAGATGTTGTTTAACTGGAAATGAAGTATCGAATGCCAAAGAAATATGATGAATAAATAGTGCAAATTTTTTATTCGCGGAAAGATCCATTCTATCAACAAAATCCCAAGAAATTTGATCAACACACATGTAAAAAAGAATCTTACCCTGCTGGGTTATTGGTCTACATATGACAGTCTCAGTGATGTACGTTGCATATTTTTGAGGTACAGGAAAGTTTACCAGCTGTCCTCTGTGATCTGACAGTCCCGTTTCAATAACTTCAGAATTGCATCCATCAGCACCAAAGCTAACGAACACAACATATAACATATACACTCGTAAGGAGTCGCTGCGAGTGGAGCCTGCAATCTTGTTAGAAATTGCACAAAAGTCAATGCAGTCAACTATTATCTTTGATGCAATCAATTAGTGATGTGAATTGAGAATAGTCCCATGCGAATATTCACGAACATTGGGAAATTTCCAGGAATATTCGCCGATAAAAAATGGAAACGTTCTCCTGAATAAGAATATTCCCATAAACTTTCAATCAAAAACTCTCAAAAGAATATTTCCGAGACCTTTCAAGAATATTTCCAAGAAGTTTTTAGATGAATTTTATAAAAATGCGAGATTATTAAAACTACAAGGTCCCAGTGACGTCATTTCAATTTATTTTGATGATGTAACCCTATCCAACTGTCTTTACGGAAACGTACACCCGATTTACCCAATCACCAGCTGAGCTGATGTACCTACAGTTTGTCGTTTTTTGATTGTCTTCATTGAAGAAAGATAAAAATAAAGAGCTGGGAGATCGGGTTAATCGGATCAGCGTTAACGTAAAAGCCTTATTCACCCATCCATAAAAGTTTTTTTTACTAAACTTTGTTTCACGAGGGTTTATACTTTTGACATCAAAAACGACATAGCTTGACAAAAATGAGTGTTTTTTGTTTTGTTTTATAGTCTATAGTCAGTACACTACAATAATAAATAAAGCTTACTACTGATTTGTCTGATTTTACTATAAATTAAAAAAAAAAAACAATATTTCCATTATTCTCGGAAAGTTTCCAATATTCCCGGTAAGTTTCCGAGAATGTTCGCGGCTTTTGAATGTTTCGGGAATTTTACATCACTACAATCAATGCAGGCAAATACAGTAGGTGCACAAAATTTAGTGGGTGAAACACCCCTCACGCATACCTCAGATAATCAAGATCTTTTAGTCTTTAGACTGGCTCGGTTAATCCAGAGATTGGATAATCAGGGTTCTACTATATTTTGATTAGATTTGTCAGACTGTAAAGAAGATACTTACACCTTTTGAATTGCTATACAGAAATGCTGCGTTCTAGAGTGGGTACCGATACTATCAATCATAGGTAATATCTTGAGGAAGCTAAACTATCTTTCCATTTTTTCTACAAAAATTAAGACTAATTTAATCTCTATAAAGGTATTTGACCATCAAACTGGTTTTTCAACATTTCTATTCAAAGATAATCCAATCAATATTCAAATTAGGCCATTAAATCTAGCATTGATATAAAGCAATAGAATAATTTTTGATAGACAATTTATTCGAAGTGGGTGTTTACAAACTAGAGTTTAATTTTTTCAAATTTGACTTATTGAACTTTGTGATTAGAGACAGAAATTATTGGGCCCTGGAAGAAAAAATAAATCTTTGCACTTCATAGTCAACAGCAATAATAGTTGACTAATGTGGCAAATATTTTATAAATTTATTACAACAACAATTAAAAACATATTTTGTCTGGAATTTGAAAACATGTGGAAAATCAATATTTGTTCTGCTTATCTATGTGACAAAGCAAGTGTTTCGATTCAGTTACACTCCATTTTTCTACTGGGTGTATGGGGTATGGAAGACCAGTAGGCAGTGGCGGTTTCTTCATAGGAGCACATGAGCACGTGCACCCCCATAAAAATCCCAAAAAATTATCAATTTATAATTTATCGTATGTTATCCGAATTTCCTTAATTTTTGTTATGCCGTTAAACCAAATTCATCCTAATCGCCAGCGCCGACCGGCTTGAATTGGCAACTTGGCAACCATACCCGAACCTCGCGAGAGTTCGCACTTGCGGTAAAGTGGCCGGGATTTAA